TCTGAAACACTCGATCTCGGCCTACCGTGGTCTGTGCCTAGCTCGGTCTCTTGACAAGATCGAGTCAAGCAGAGACAGCGTGTGTCCTAGACACGGTACTGCAGAGACCAGGTGCTGTAGACAAGCTTTCAGGAAGGAGTCGGGTTGAGAGAATTTTGAAAAATTCAAAGTTTTCAAAAAATCAAAAAGTGTCGGAAATTGTCCAAATCGCGCACAAAATTAAAAAATTCGAAAAATTTCGTTTTAAATTTTTTAAAAAATTTTGATTTTGTGCGCTTTTTAGACAATTTGCAGCATTTTTTGATTTTTCGAAAATTTTGAGTTTTTTCCAAAAGTTTCCCTACCTGGTACGAACTCTGAAACACTCGATCTCGGCCTGCCGCGGTCTGTTCCTCGCTCGGTCTCTGTAGGACTCTCTCTCGCCCTCCCTGACTGTGCCTCACCCAGTTTCTGTTGGACTCGGTCTCGGTCTAATCGTAGCCTAGACTAACGTAATCACAGATTATCCTAGACAAATCCTAGCATAGTCTAGCCTTACCCGGTCTCTGCCGGACTCGGTCAGTGTTTCACACGTTCTCTGCCTCGCCTTGTCTGTCGGACTCCGTCTCTGTGTCACGCGTTCTTTGCAGAGATGGACTGTCAACGACGGTGACATAGGGAGACGGCATCCTGCAAGACCGAGTCAAGCAGAAAGAGCGTGTGTCCGTGACACGGTACTGCGGAGACCAGAAAACAAACAATTTCGAATTCTTTTTGTTTTGTGTGCTTTTAGGCACTTTTCAGCATTTTTTTATTTTTCGATTTTTTTTTATTCCCCCCCCCCCCCCCGCCCCCGTTTTTTAGAACCGGTCTCTTCTTCACCCATTATTTGCAGTGGCGGCGTGTCAGAGACCGTGTGATAAGAGACTGGATCGTGCAGATACCGCGTGCGTCAGTGAGAGGATAGGGGTATCCGATTCTCGCAGGGGTCAGGTATGGAGTATTTTGAAAAAGAATTCGAATTTTTCAAAATTTACAAAGAAATCATTAAACGCTAGAAATTGTCTAAGAAGTGCACAAACCCAAAATTTTTAAGACATTTGAAAAAATTTGAAGTTTAAAATTTTCAAAAATTGAGTTTTGTGCGCTTTTTGTACAATTTCCTTTTATTTTCTCCCCAAAAAATGTTTCCAATCCGATTACATCCACAAACGGTCTCTTCCGTACCTTGTGTCTGACGGATTCTGTCTGTGAGGGACTTGTTGTATGACAGACCCAGTCACTGCGGACTCATTCTCTGCAGGATTCGGTCTCTGTATGTCCCAGCCTCTGCTGGGCAATCTCTGCAAATAACACCTATGTAGTCAGTAATATATAGTTGTAGAGGGGTCTATATAGCTGGTATTATCAACAGTAATATAGGCAGGGGTAGCAGGTCCTATATAACCATTAATATAGCAAGGGATGTGTGGATATATATAGCCAGTAATAAAGTTGTCCATTTACCTAGAAACAATTGCAGAAGTGGATGTTCTATATAGAAATTAATACATACAAGAATTGAGATGTCTGTATGTTGAGTAATTTAGGCTGAAGTAGTCTTTAGACGGTAATGCCAACATTGTTAGAGGGTCTGTATAGCAAATAATATATGAGGCATAGAGAGATGGAAAAGAATCTTACATATTTTTTTAAGATCATAATTGCGTTGTTTTTGTGTTATTTATGGTTTACTTTATTACCTTTAACCAGTCTTCAACATTTATTGGTACCTGTGTTCCACTCAGTTCCAATCTCTCCTTTCTTTTAGACTTTGTTATGGTGTAGTATAGATCATATTTAAAGAAAGCAATGGTGTTTTTTTCGTCCCCCGCCCCCCATTACTTGCTTAAATTGCCATGCACTATAGTTGTTGAAGAAAACTTTCTATCCACACACACACACACAAACAAACAGACGATTAAACTTAATGAAGAAAATTATTTCAGACCCACAGTTAGGTGTAATGGTGCGCCATGGACTAAAGGTATACAGCTGTGTCCGTGAAAAATGGCTGCTGTTTTGCTGCCGGTCAGCAGAAGAGAAGCGACGGTGGCTAGATGCCATGGCAGAGGAACGTCAACTTGTAGCCAAAGATCGTCAAGATGGTCTCGAATTCCCTCCAGCAGCTCGCCAACTTGCAAGAATGGCTGCTCGTTGCCAGAGGAGACCACCTAGCAAACCCAGAAGTAAGCAGCTCTCACAAAAGGGTCAAATGAATTCTTAAATAAAGTGGCATTTTGTTTCACATGACATAAGGTATTCTGTACACAGTTGTCCAAGACTATAAGAAAAAGTTATTTTGAGACAAACAGTTTCTGTTATCTACATATGGCAAAATATTTTTAAATATATATAAAATCTGTAGAGTTAAACCAAATTTTACATTGTGCATGGTATTCCAAAATTTAATGTAAAGTCTCTTCTTCTGTTTACTGCATCATATGCAGAGGTAACAATCCATCAATTGAACTGTATAAAAGTTTATGAAAGATTTTTTAAGTAGGATTTGAGGTTCTCGTGGCAGTGAGTACGAAGATGGCTGTCTACTGAACTGTAGTGCTGTGTACTCTGGTAGAAGTTCTTCAGTATTGCAAAGGTAAATTTATACCAGATTACACAGTGCTAAAACTCAGAAGACAGTCTATGTATGTGGGCAGCAGTAGTCATAGCAAATTTTGAGAGTGTGTTCTGATGCGCACAAGAAGGTAATGATGAAAGAAAAAGAGAAAACAAAAAATTAATCGGGTATGTCAGCAAGAATTTCAGTTTGTACATTATGAGTATGTCAGGTAGTTCACCATTGAAATATGCCCACTGTTTAATGAGACAAAGGGAATGCAAATTATAACTCGGTTAATTGTGCAGCCATGGAAAGTAAAATATACCAATCAAAAGCTGAGATATATCCTATCATGGTCTTTACAAACAAATTCCAAAGATGTTCACAGAAATTTACCAACAACTCTGTGAAAATCACCAAGAGAACGTTGCTAGTGTTACACATTGGTTTTCTCTGTCCATAGATAAGAACTATAAGGGGGACTCTAGATACAGCATCAATCCATCAGAAGCAAGTTCCAGTCATCACAGCCTTAGTGGGACACAATCAGCACACGGGTCAACTCACTCATTGGGACGCAAGGTTGGCACCTGGTTTACGTTTGGCAGCAGTAAAAAAGGACGAGCGTTAGTACAGACCTCTCCACGCCGCCAGCACACATGAAGTAAGGGTACATCTAAGACAATTCTGCTGGCAGCAACAAAGAGAACAAACAGACATAAGTTAATATTTTCAATGATTTATAAAATAAAAATTGCAAAATATGAAAACTGTTCAAGCTCAAGTTGCCCCTTCTAGAGATAAGCCATTTACCTGACCTATGATTGCCAAACATATGGCAAAATATTTTTAAATATATATAAAATCTGTAGAGTTAAACCAAATTTTACATTGTGCATGGTATTCCAAAATTTAATGTAAAGTCTCTTCTTCTGTTTACTGCATCATATGCAGAGGTAACAATCCATCAATTGAACTGTATAAAAGTTTATGAAAGATTTTTTAAGTAGGATTTGAGGTTCTCGTGGCAGTGAGTACGAAGATGGCTGTCTACTGAACTGTAGTGCTGTGTACTCTGGTAGAAGTTCTTCAGTATTGCAAAGGTAAATTTATACCAGATTACACAGTGCTAAAACTCAGAAGACAGTCTATGTATGTGGGCAGCAGTAGTCATAGCAAATTTTGAGAGTGTGTTCTGATGCGCACAAGAAGGTAATGATGAAAGAAAAAGAGAAAACAAAAAATTAATCGGGTATGTCAGCAAGAATTTCAGTTTGTACATTATGAGTATGTCAGGTAGTTCACCATTGAAATATGCCCACTGTTTAATGAGACAAAGGGAATGCAAATTATAACTCGGTTAATTGTGCAGCCATGGAAAGTAAAATATACCAATCAAAAGCTGAGATATATCCTATCATGGTCTTTACAAACAAATTCCAAAGATGTTCACAGAAATTTACCAACAACTCTGTGAAAATCACCAAGAGAACGTTGCTAGTGTTACACATTGGTTTTCTCTGTCCATAGATAAGAACTATAAGGGGGACTCTAGATACAGCATCAATCCATCAGAAGCAAGTTCCAGTCATCACAGCCTTAGTGGGACACAATCAGCACACGGGTCAACTCACTCATTGGGACGCAAGGTTGGCACCTGGTTTACGTTTGGCAGCAGTAAAAAAGGACGAGCGTTAGTACAGACCTCTCCACGCCGCCAGCACACATGAAGTAAGGGTACATCTAAGACAATTCTGCTGGCAGCAACAAAGAGAACAAACAGACATAAGTTAATATTTTCAATGATTTATAAAATAAAAATTGCAAAATATGAAAACTGTTCAAGCTCAAGTTGCCCCTTCTAGAGATAAGCCATTTACCTGACCTATGATTGCCAAACTATTCTTCTTCTTCTTCTTTTTCTTCTTCTTCTTCTATGGTTCTCCAGTCCATATTCAGTCCACGGCCTCCTCAATTCTCCTCTTCCATTCAGTCCTCTGTTAGGTCCGTCTGTCCGAGGCTTTGATTGACGTTTCAAAACATCTTCCTTTTTAAGGTGCAAGGTTGTTAGCCTTGCAACCAACCCCCAACCTGGAGGACCAGTGTACCTATCTTAGTCTGACCTGTCCCCCTTGACCAATCTGGCTAGGGAGTAATAGTTTGGCATCCCCTGTCTAGGGGATGCCAAACTATTACATTACTTCTAATCTGTAAATGACACTCCATACCAGCTACCTGAAACAAAGGATATACTACTACAAACAATCCTATCCGACTTCTTTCCTTTTAGTACACCAACATCAGTGCATGATGCTATGAGAGTTAAAAGGAAACACATCTAACATGTTGGCTGTCCATCATTCATCTTCAAGTCCAAACATCAATGTCATAAAATGGTAAAGGAAACAAAAACATAACAGCATGTAAACACTTCAGGCACAAGATGGTAGATAGAACTTTTATAATGTCAAACAGACTGAATATAAATATGGGGCAGTGTCTAGCCTAATGCCATAAAATGAGGTCTGTACTAATAGCAGCAGTTACAATGAATGGACACAATCCAGTGGCTGTTAAAAATACTTGGAAATTAAATGAACTAATGCGGGTATGCCAAGGTTTCAGCCACCAAAGTTCATACTCTTCCATATTTCATGTTCAGAAATAAAACATTTAAAATTTATACATATTGATGATTGACCTCACCAAATCATTTTTCACTACACTGTAATGTGGGGAGAAGAGGAACATATACAAGACTGAAAAGTTACCTTCCTATATGACTGCTGTAACTTACTTGCACACAGTAAGTTTACGGTTTGATTTTTTACTCTGCTACAGTAAAAACATTTCTTTTAATAGATGACTTGACAGTAAGCTTTAATGTAACATACTATCCATAACCAAACATTGATGAAATCCATTTCACATATCATTATTAATGATATACTGTAAACATAGCAGAATGCATACATATCTACTGCTGTGTGATTTAATGCAGCCTCAAAATAGATCAGTAGATACTATACAGAAAGCATGGATCCATTAAAATAAATGAGTTGCAATGAGAAGGCAAAATCACAGCTTTACATATAGCACTATACATATCTACTAATTCATATTTTGAAGTATTACAAACGACTTGATGTTCTTCTTCTGGGTTTTCGTGTCATGTAGACTCATCGGTTGATGCCAACGGTTCAGAATAACATACTCCTCCATCTTCAGGGCTCATGTTGAAAGTTCATGTAATCCTATATAAATCCCTCCACTTCCCAGCATCACCATTTAAGCCCTGAAGTTGAAGACAGTATGTTTCTCTGAAGTGGCATCTACTGTCAAGTCTACATGGCACCAAAACCCAGAACATCATCATCTTCACTGCGGCAAAAACCTCAAAGCAACTCAACTTCAGGGCATATAGTTCAATGTGTTTTCAGCTCATCATTCTGTATGTTAATACACACTGGTCAGTCAAGATAAGACAGACATGGTCAGTCCATAGTCACTTCTTCTTCTATTGCTCCCCGGTCCGTATTCAGCCCATGACCTCCTCAATTTTCCTCCTCCTTTCGGTCCTAGTTAGGTCCGTCTGTCCGAGGCTTTGATTGAGATTTCCAGTAGCTCTTGGGGTCACTGGGGTACTCAAGCCCCACCACCACAACAAGGTGCAGGTACCATTAAGAGTCCACAGTCACTATTACGCTCCAATTAGTCAGTCACAAACAAGATGTCAGAGGACAAGGTTACTGTTACAGGTGCACTTATGATTTTGGGATGGTTATGCAAGCAACAAACTAATATGAGGAGGCACTGGGTTCATCCACTGTTCAGGACAGGGATGATGATAATTATAACATATAACAGCAATGAACTTGACTATTAAAATGATTAAAGTACCTCAGAAAATTAATTCTTCAATTGAGCTGTTACAGGGAAAAGTTTTATAGCTTCATGCAAATGTTGCTAGAAACTGTTGACAGTTTGCTGGAATTTATACAGGATAGTGTGTGTGTGGAGGGGGAATTGTGTGGATTTTTCACTAAATTTGATATTTGAAAGTTGTACTACAATTTGTCAACTTATTCCAATTTTGGTTAAAAATACAATGACAAGTACATTCATTAATATTTACGTGCATGGTACAAATGTTATTCTCTTAGAGAAGCAGAAAAGACATGTTTAAAACTGTATCATTCACATGTCCAACCAGTGTGCATTTCCCCATAAATGGAAGTATGATTATGACTAAACACATCTAAAGCTGTCATGTCAAAAAAGGTGTGTCCAGCCTCGTTCATCATGAAAATGTGTTTGTCATGCTATTCATTTACTGTTTTTTTTTAAAACATGACGAAGAATTTTACCTCGTGTATCAAATGGCCTACACTAAACCAAACCAATTCACTACAGGTTGGCCTCATCACTGAAATTTATGATGACCTCAGAAATATAATGAATAACTCTCGGTAACAATAATAAAGTAGTAAAACATAAATTGGCCAACTCTGGACTTAATGAACAGGCCTACAAACTTCACTGAGAATAAATGTTCTAAGACTTACAGTTCTACAGCCCTGTGGATAGCTAGCACAGTTGTTGCTTAAGTTGGATGCAACAAAGCTGTTACTATACACACACACAGGGGGATGCTAAAAATGTAAATGTTTCATTGTTTGAAGCCTCAATTTTGCAAGTAGTGTCTCAGAATTTGGGATTGAGGATATGAAAAATTACAAAAATGTAAGAAATAACTGCCTTTAAATTTTACACCTTGAATTCATACTTGTTTAATAACCACCATTATGTACACAAAACAGTGATAAGATGTTGATTTATATAGTACACCACATTTTTATGTATTAAATTTGGGCCAAATTTTGAGACATCGTTTACATCTAGTGCGGTGCAGCCATTAACAGGAGGCACAAAAAATGTTTTTTGTTGTAAAATACATGTATATATATTTTTCTGTAAATATGTATTATTATGCATTAGGCTACTGATAGATTGTACAAATTATGTAACTGGATAAATTCCACTAGTGTTAAATTTTAAGTTCTTTAGATGTACTGATGATCTCTTGAAAGCTCCATTGACAAGTTTTACTGATGACATGTGTCAATTCTTGTGCAAAGTACCCATAAATATATTAATAAATTTATGGTTGTGTGTTCCTTGTATAAGATGAAATGCAGTGAACTATTTAAGAGAATGAAGTGTTGCACAAATAGACGTTATTGTATGACAGCATTTTATGAGACATGTATATAAAAATGTTAACTTGCTGTAAATATACTTAACACAATAGTTTTATAAAGAATGCGTTGGTTTAATAATTACTGCAATTTGTTTCTTTAGTCGTGCTGTCCTCCCCTTTAAACTCCAACATTGTCCTTCGCATTTAATACTGTAAGATAATACTTCCACAGGAAAATATCTACGTTGCATTACTCTGTCTAGACAAATGAACATTACACTTAGATTTTACCTTTATCATTTTATGAGAATATACTACATTACCTCTACAGCAGCTAATATAATAGGAAGTACAAACAGATACTTCAGTGTGTTCTTACTATTTTGCCATACAAATATGTAGGGCAGTCAAAAATTTCCCAGAATTGTAGTATAGCACTGTACACCTCGCTGGTTGTGCAGCAATTCCTCGCTGAGAAAAGCATTCCCGTCATCACCCAACCACCATACTCTCCGGCTCTCGCTCCGAGTGACTTCTGGTTGTTCCCTACTCTGAAAATGGGCCTCAAGGGGGCGCATTTCGCAACCATGGAGGACATAAAATCTAATGCGACGGCCGAACTCCGGAAGATTCCAAAGAAGCCTTCCGCCGGTGCTTCCAACAATAGCAGAATCAATGGAGCAAGTGTGTGTGTGCGCAAGGGTCCTACTTTGAAGGTGATTAGGTAAGCATTGCTATATGTCCTACCATTACAGTGCTATACGACAATTCCGGGAACTTTTTGACTGCCCCTCGTATATATGTATTACAAGGACAGGCTCTTCATTGGCTGTACTAAGAGATATCTTACACATTTTCCCAAGTCATCTCAACACCCATGGAATTTAATAGGTACATTTTGTTTACAACATTGACATTGTTATATCCATTAACATATGTGACATTTATACAGGACAGTTTTGAAAGCTCCATACTGACAAATTAAATATATTCCTAATCATGAAGCACATAAGTACTATGAAATCTATAATAAATCTTGTAGATTATACAGACACTAAAGCAATTATATTACAGCTGTTCAACTTCAATTATTTCAATTCCTTGTAAGATTTATTTAAAATGTTCTGAAATAAGTGTAATGCAGAAAAATAGCCTCATAGACCAATGCAAAAAAAATGAGCAGAGGGAAAAGGAATAAAGAATAAAATATTTTTACTTTTACACACAGAATATCTGTAAACCAGACAACTCTGAATTGGAAGAAACATACCAGAGCTCACCCCTTATAAATGCCACAAGGAATTAAGAATTTATACAAGATTAAGGCCTGTAACTTCTAACACCACATTTAACATTTTAATATGTACTATCTTTAAAAAAGTACCTGCAGCGTACCCAGGAACGAAGGATGAGCCCTGAACTTGCCTGTTAATTACAAGTTCCAACTATTCATCTCAGAAATGACGGAGAATTGTTATTTAAAAGTTAAATTAATATCTTTGGGTGCTCGTACAACACAGTTAAGGTAAAAAGTATCCTTTAAAATGCGTTCTTCAAAAAAAAACATAAAATAAACATTCTTGTTACGACACAAAATATGTAAATATTTCTGTTTCTATACCACTTTTATAAAAATTATTTTTCCACCACAATAGAACATTCCAAGTTTGTCATTTAAAACATATTACACTATTTTATGCTGAAACTTCATTTTAAATATATGTTACTATATAATATCATATAGTACATTTAATTCACTGTTATTTACACCTATTTACATTTCACATGACCAAAACTTTTCACATGCTGATAAACACTTTATCCGTATAAAACACAGTAAGTTGTCGAAACAAACTTCTTTCATATTTTCCACACCTTCAATAAAAGTTTACTGTATGAATAAATGTGTGATGTTTAGCTGCACTTTCAACATATTTATGAGACACTTACTAAGAAGGAAACGTTTTAAGGAGTTAATGAACATCACGAACTCTGTTCACCGTCACAATCATTTGTTCAAGCAAATTCATCACTCAAAGAAATCACGCTGTCTCACCTTGCTATGTGTCAAGATCATCTTCTCGTTGGCTGGAGAAGTATGACACGAGGCCACCAAATTCGCCACCCCCTTCCTCGTCATATGACTTACTGTTGCTACCATCTGATGCCTGGAAACTGTGAGTTGCATCTGGGGAAGCATAGTGATCCGTGTAAGGAGAACCCTGGTAGGCAGATGGAGGGAGGGCATCATCTGCAGCTGCCAAAGGTGGAGGAGGGGGATATGCACCATAATGGTAACTGGGTGGGGGAGGCGGGTGGTATGGAGAGAAGTTACCAGGGGCAGGACTCCTGCCCTGATGTGGAGGCGGAGAAGGCTGAGCTTGCTGTAGATGGCTTCCTGCTGTTGTAGAGGGTTGGAACTGTGTCTGAGGGTGTCGGCCCTGGGAAGTCCCATTAGGTCCCACTACATCTGCAGGCTGAAGAGGAAATCTAATAAGAGGTGGTGGTACTTGCTGATGCATAGGAGGAACTGCTCGTGTATAGTGTGGGGGAGGTGGGGTGCTGTGGGAAGCAGGAGATGGCCCAGGTTTTCCAGCCAGTGGGCTTCCAGCAGATGGAGGAATCTGTGATGGTGGTTGATGTAATGGAGAGCCTTCTCCCCCAGGCCGAACAGCAGTGTTCGGTGCAATTGCAATTGGACCTCCGCCAGAAGGAGATGGATCCAGAGGATGGTGTGATGTATGATACATTTGAGGACCCTGAGACCCAGGGCCTGGAGTTCTCATCCGTAAGGGTGACATGGTTGTCTGCTGAAGAGATCCTGGTGGTGGGCGGATGGGAGACCCTCTTGAACTGGCATAATGTGGCAAGCAGATTCCTGGACTGCCAGAGGGAGAGCTAGTTAAAGGTGGAGGTTGTCGGTATGGTGATGGGATACGGCCGCGAGCTGGAATCGAGTACGACTGTGCTGTAGCCACACTGTTCCGACCCGAAGGACCAGTTCCCACACCTGGTACAGGTCCTGAATTTCCCGAACCTGGGCCTACCAATGGTGGCTGATCACTGCCTGGACCACCAAAGTACTTGTGTCCCATGGCTGTGGCTGCAGCTGTGAAGCTCTGTGGTCCTCCAGAAACAGGCTGCGACTGTAACATTCGCGTAATAACACTGCTGCTTGAATGTGGGGGCTGTGCAGAAAAAGGCAGTTGTGGTTGCTGTTGGTTTGGTCCTGGGAAACGTGATGGTCCTACACCAGTCAGAGATGTTGATCCCATATGACCATTATCCGTGAACTTTCCTGCTAAACCAACAGCTGCAGTTAAATCGGCAGCAGCAGCAGCTGCTGCTGCTGCAGCTGCAGCAAGTGTAGCTTTCCCACGACCTCTCCCCTTCCTCTTTGCTGGTGCTGGTGGTAATACTAGTGGAGCAGGTGACGATGCAGGAATCACTGGCAAAATGATAGGTGGGACTGTTGGCAGTGGCTCTACACTCTTTGAAACTTCTGGTAAAATGTCAGCATTCTTGTGAACAGGCAATTCTGTGTCTATAGGTGTGCTTAACAAAACAGGCTGTAAAGATTCAATTTCATCCAATTTCTTAGCCTTTTTACCCCTCTTCTCGTATTCCTTCTTTTCAAGCTTCTTAGCTTCTCTCTTCTGTCTCCTTTTCTCTTTAGGCTTGGCCAAATCTGCCTGCTGAAAGGCTTCTTTCATAGCCAAGAATTCATCTTCCTCCTCCTCTAACACCTCTTCCTCAAGCAATTCTTCTTCCAGCATATCATTCATTTCCTTTTCCTCATCCAACAACTCCTCTTCCAAAAGCTCTTCATCCATCAGTTCTTGTCTCTCATGCAACACTGATCTTATCCTTATTTCTCCTTCTTCCAGGTCATCAAACTCTTCATCAAAGTCCTGCACCTCATCCTCAGTATCATCTCGGATGACCTGTTTCTTTGTATGTGTTGGTTTGGACTTCCTTGGTTTCCTTTCAGATTTTTTCTTCTTCTCAACTTTTGGTTTCTTTTCAGATTTCTTCTTCTTCACAGCCCTTGGCTTCTTTTCAGACTTTTCTCTCTTCTTCTTTCCAATTTTGGATGGAAGGTCTTCAGCTGAAACATTTCAATGTCACCTTCAAAACACGCCAAACCATAACATTTTAAAAATACATAAAATAAGTAAACTCAAACAATTACTTTCTAATACACATCGTGTCTGACATTGAACCATATATTCTCATGCTTAAAAAGACAATTCCCTCCCCCTTCTTATTGATATGAATAAGCAGACTGGTTTCAGTATGAGTGCAGGCCAGGACAACCACTGTCCTGACCATACCCTTCTGGTTTTCCTCAGTCATTTGGCGCAACAGTATCTTGAACAAGACTGCAAGTGCTTCCTCACCAGTTTATTGTACACAACCACCTTTCCCATCACTCCCATGTTCTTTCCACCTTAAAACACTCCATGACAATGGTAACAACTCGGTCCTGTCTCATTTATTTAGTTATAAAATAAAACTGGCTAACCTGATTCATTATTTAGTTCCTTTCTTACTGGTTCTTCTTCTACCTGTGCTTCTTCTTCTTCCTCCTCTGCTTCTGATTTAGCTTCTCCTCGGTCTCTGGCTTCAGCTTCAAGTTCAGTAAGAGGTTCAGGTTCTACTTCTGCATCTCCCTCCACTTCTTCCATTTCTGGTTCTTCGTCCTCTTCCTCTTCTATCATCATCTGCTCCTCTTCACTCGCTACATATTCGTCCTCACTTTCTGGCCGCTTAGTCACAACTTTCATCAATTCCTGAAACAAATTAATAACTTTCTTCAGAGGCAGGAAAGCATTTCTTCAGTGTTTGAATGTAATGAGGATTAACTTTTCTCCCTTCCTTGTATAAACATCACACTTCATCCATGGTAATAAATCTGATACAGTGAAACCTCTATCCATCGTTCCCGGAACTATCGTTTTCCTGGATGCATCGTCCGTTTTGTTCGGTCCCGAATACATCCCATATAAAATAATGTTACATTTTCCCGCTTCTATCGTTCCTCGAACTATCGTTTTATCGCATCGATCGTTCAAAAATCTTAGTCCCGGCCCACAATTTTCCCGCAATGATCGTTTCTGAGAAATTAAAATGCTGGGTTTTGAGATAAATTAATACCGAAAGACGCACAATGTTTTTGGAATAAACAGTAGCGGTAACCTGTTATGTCGCCCAACCAGCACATTCTTTTGGAATGAGGGTCAGCGGTGCAGGGGTGATAGTTGGAGTGAATGGCGGTGCCCATTGTCAGAAATTTTACGATTTTAATTAGGGTGCACTCATATTGTTCGGCAGTAATAGTATTTCCATTCTTCCTGTTATTGTCCGCAAAGGGGGTTGGAGTGGTGAGGAAGAGGGAGACGACGAATGCGAGCCCGAAGCTTTGCCGAGTTTTGCCGAAGCGCACGCTGCATTGGCGAAAGTGAAGTTGTTCTTTTATGCGCTTAATATTAGTGAACGTGACGAGGAAAACCTTTTGAACGTGGAAAGTGCTCTGTTTGGTCTAAAACGTAAAGTTTCGACAAACCAGTTGTCCATTAAAGACTTTTTTGGTAAAAAGAAGTAACTTTGAAAGAGAAACATTGTTTTTTTTAAATTTTTAATGCTTTCCCGCATCTATCGTTTTCCCGCATTCATCATTTTTATTTCTCACCCCCGCCGAAAACGATGCATCGAGGTTTCACTGTACTTTTAAATTTCCATAACATTTGTGCTTCATTTCTCTTACTGTTCCTAAAATTCAATTCATTTATTTAAGTGCTTGACAACAGCCAAATAAGGCCAATAACAGCCAAGCACTAAACCAGAGTACAGGATAAAATATAATAAATAATTATATTCATTTCAATAATAATAAAAGTAAAATGTTACAAATACAAAAACAAACAAACAAATGATGATGATGATGATGATAATAATAATAATAATATTTTATTACATTCCATGGATCCATAAGACAGTCAGATGACAATAGGATGTGGAAAAAGTCATAATAATAATAAACTGTGGGGCCGCCCGCATGGTGTGGTCGGACGATCTACGGCGTGGCCTTCTTGCGTGTCACGACAATAGTGATCCTTCGCGGAGAGGGTACATGGCACGGATGCATTCCCTTTGGTGCGAGGTGTATCCTGAGCACTCCGGTCTCTCACAACAAAACCTGCGAGACTATGTCAATCATCTACGAAGGAAAAGCTTCCTATTCGATCTTTCCGACATCTGTCCTGACAGTGGTGTAAGAGTATTTTTCTGAGGTCATAGCATTTAATACAGGCTCAGAACAAAGATGAAAACCTTATATTCTCTATATTCACAAAGTTTTACCTTTATCAACAGTGACAGAAAGTAAAAGCTAGCAAAAAAAATCTGCACTCAATCTAGTTCATCTTAATACAAAAGTTCTGGAGCAGGCCATTGCCCCTATATGACCTAATTCTACATAATGTGATAATGTATAAAACAATTACACATTTATTTTGCAACCTCAATTTAATAGGAGTTACAAGTCTGGTAAGGCCCGCGCTGTAGCCTCACGGTCTGAGGCATCATGCTTCGGACCGGCGATACGGAATGCTCGCTGGTTCGGTCTCGGGGAAAGAAATTTCTCATGAGATTTTCGACCGGTGTATGGGACCGGTGTCAACCCAGCATCGTGAGGAAATTGGGGAGCTACAATGGTTAGCGTGATCCGGTCAGGAAAGCTAGCAATGGCTGGGGGTTCGTCGTGCTGACCACACATCACCCTATATCTGGTTGGATAATCGTTCACCTCTGCTTAGGCATGTGAACATGAGGCCAGCAGTCAAGCTCGTCGGCTTTGGCTCTCTGGAGCTGTTACGCCACGGATTTAATTTAATTTTTACAAGTCTGGTAACCATACGCATAAACATTCCCATGGTATACAGGTGTTTAAAATAATGACAGAAGCTCTGGTAACAACCACAGTGGAATAACTAATACATCAGTGCCTGAGAAAATATTGATACAAAATCCTGTCCTAAGGTCAAAAGGTAGCAACCTATGACTGGAACTTATACTACTGGCTAGCAACAAACTGCTGGGTCTGTCATGGATGTACTAAATTTAATCAACATACCTCTTCACTCTCTGAACCTGCAATCTCCTGATAGTTGATCTTCCTACCACGTGTTCGAGGCAAAGAAGCTTCATCAACACCTAAGCCGCCAAATTTTATCTGAAAGAAAAAGATTTGCAGATGAAACATCTTTCCTCAGTCTCCATAGTTTGGTCAAATAAAAGTTAAACTAAATTAAACTACAGGTAAACCTCGATTTACGCCGGGGATGTGTTCCTGTACAAACTGGTGTAAATGGAATCGGAGTAAATTGAAACTCTAATGTAAATCAATGGGAAATCAATGACATGCGTTCCCGGCACCCAAACATTGACGACTAAAGTTGCTCAAAAATTGACTTTGCCTTATCCGTGATAGCAATTTCAGTCAAGGGAATGTTTTTTCAATTCATGTCATCCACCCATAGCAACAGTAATTTCACCATTCTTTCTAAAAGTTTACTTCTGCTATAACTCACTTGCGTTGCACTTACTCTCGTAGCCTGTTGCATTGATGTATTATTTTATATGAATTTTTCATTATGGTAGCCACAGTGGAAGGAGGCAACTTCATACGGAAGGAGGCAACTTCATACTTATGCACACATTACGACAGGTATCACCACATTCTATTCTATGAATTACGCCCATCTTATCTTCTAACGCAATAGACCTATGCAACTTTTTAGAAACACATTCACTTCTCTTACCAGACATGGTGGCTCTTCTACAATTTATAAATATAAAACAGTTGCTACTGCAGAATAGTGATCGAACAACAACACAAACAAGTTTAGCACACAGTTTTCAGCACATTCAATGTGTCAACAAGAAGCGACCTGAGCGCATTTTTCCTTACTCCCTTATCAGGCTGAACGCAAATGACTCACCATGAAGAGTGACTAATGCTCACGTGACTGATGCACAATGTTGGCAGATTTTTAGGAGATTATCTTGCAACTACTTAGCAATAGGTGAAGAGGTGACTGTATTTATAATTTTTATTCAAAATCAGCGATGTAAGAATTACGATTTAGTATAAGAATCAGTACGAGAAACATTGTAAAACGTTATAAATAATAGTAAAATATATTTTTTTCACTTTTTGACTTGCTGGTTTCAAAAGCGGCGTTATTCTGAATCGGCGTGAATTTAAGTGGCGCAAATTGAGGTTTACCTGTATATGAAACTGAGAAATTAAAAACAAGAGAAAGAAATGAAGATTTCTGTCTTCTGGGTTATTGCGCTGTGTAGTCTGGTCGATGTTAACCAATGTTTCAGAGGTCATACTGCCTCCGTCATCAGGGCGCCCTGATGACGGAGGCAGTATGACCTCTGAAACATTGGTTAACATCGACCAGACTACACAGCGCAATAACCCAGAAGACAGAAATCTTCATTTCTTTCTCTTGTTTTTAATTTCTCAGTTTCATATACAGGTAAACCTCAATTTGCGCCACTTAAATTCACGCCGATTCAGAATAACGCCGCTTTTGAAACCAGCAAGTCAAAAAGTGAAAAAAATATATTTTACTATTATTTATAACGTTTTACAATGTTTCTCGTACTGATTCTTATACTAAATCGTAATTCTTACATCGCTGATTTTGAATCAAAATTATAAATACAGTCATCTCTGCAATTACGTATGTTTCGTTAACGCGAATTTGCTCCAATGAGATCGATGAATCG